AAATGAGAAACAAGTTACGTTTAAGTTATTAATAAGCATGAAAACTGCAGAGAGTGACTCTGCTTGTAGGTTAGTTTTATCTCTAAAGAGAAAGCAAAGTACGGTCAATGTTACACGAGAAACAGGTTACGTTAAACGAGAAACAGGTTACGTTACAGTTGTGAATTAGCATGAAGACTGCAGAGAGTGACTCTGCTTAAAGGTTAGTTTGTATTTGTAAAAATAAAAAAAAATACGTTAAATATAGATCAACTATCTCGCCGTTATATGAGAAACAGGTTACGTTAAAGTTATTAATTAGCATGAAAACTGCAGAGAGTGACTCTGCCCATAGGTTAAATTTTATTTGTAAAGAGAAAACAAATTACGTTCAATGTGGATTAACTTCTCTGCCGTCACATGAGAAACAGGTTACGTTAAAGTTGTTAATTAGCATGAAAACTGCAGAGAGTGACTCTGCTTATAGGTTAGTTTTATCTCTAAAGAGAAAGCAAAGTACGTTCAATGTAGATTGACTTTTTCGCCGTTACATGAGAAACAGGTTACGTTTGAAGGAACCCTCCACTGTTTTTGCAAGTATCGCTTAAAATGTTCCAAATATGCTGATAAATGGATTCTATATTAAAAAAATGCCTTACCTAACGATAAAATTAACTATTTTTCACGCCGTTACACGAGAAACAGGTTACGTTAAAGTTGTGAATCAGCATGAAGATTGCAGAGAGTGACTCTGCTTGTAGGCTTGTTTGTATTTCTAAATAAACAAAAAACTATGTTTGATTTAGATTTCATTTCTTCAGTTTTATACGAGACACAAAAACTGGAGACAGGGACGAAAGTGCCCTATGGTACGTTACATAAGTGCCCTAAGGTGACGAAAGTGCCCTATGGTATGTTGCATAAGTGCCCTAACGTGACAAAAGTGCCCTTAGGTACGTGACAAAAGTGCCCTAACGTGACATAAGTGCCCGAATTTACGTTGCAAAAGTGCCCTTTAATCTCTCTGTCTCTCTGTCTCTCTCTCTCTCTCTCTCTCTCTCTATTTTAATTTAATTATATCTATTTTCGCGAACGATGATTTAATTTATGCAAATTTCTGTTAGTTGATGTCCAGTGTGTTTACATACGCGGGGAGAGTTTTTCGCTAAGCTATTGGTATTGTTTTCTATTCCGGGATGGAAGGATTTTGTTCATTTTCAGAAATTACAGGTGGCAAATGCGGATTTAGTCGAGGAAATACCGAATGTATAGCGCTAAATAGCTGTGACGGCGATATCGGTTTGCATCTAGCAAATCACCACCTGTCGAGAGAAAATGTACGTGAAAGGGATCTGATACTGGCACGAGCAGGTTTGTTAGAACTCTCAGGAGAACAGATAAAGAACATGACAGTTTGTCCAGCTCATCGGTTTAGCTTAGGAAAGTACTGGCAAGCTCCCAAGACCTGTCAGTATCCAAGACATCAAGAAAAGAAAACGGTGGTCACAGGAACACATGTCATTGATTTCAAGCTGGCCAGGGAAATTAAAGACATATTTGGCGACGCAACACTCGTTGGATCGCGTAAGTGTTACATTCATAATTCCAGGAGTCTACATGTAAAGTTACAGGGCTGCGAATATGTGTTTAACGATAAAGCTATTTCTTACTTAAAGTCTGCTTTTTGTGGGCGTGCGTATGACAACTTTTACTACACGATCAAGCGTGCGTCAAATGAAAGAATAAAATTAGTTGTGACCAAAGCCAGTTTATGAAAAGAGACTTAAATTAAAAAACCGGAGCAGTAATCTACCAGTGAGTACAACGCTTTTATCACACCACTATACGTAACAAGTAAAAGTGGCTTTCATTTGACAAGTTTTATCGCCGGGCAAATTCCTTAAAATTAATTACAAACTGCTGACTACAAATGGCCTTATGAACTCACGAAATTGTCGGAATTTGCCTCGCGTTATTTTCTCTTTTGTAAGGGGGTGATTACATGGCGAATTTAAGCCCGGGCTGAGATTTCAGCGGGCTAGGATTTTCAGCCCAGGCTGGAAGGCTGAAAAACCTCATGTAATCGCAGTAAAATTTAAGCCCGGTTTGAAACGTGAGTTTGAGCAGGCGCATTGAAGGAATATTCAACGAAACAAAATGGCGGCAATGGAAAAATTGTGCTTAAACCCGGGCTGAAACTTGCCACGTAATCACAACAAAATTTCACCCCGGAGAGCGGGCTGGAATTTCAGCCCATGGCTGAAATTCCTCATGTCATAACCCCCTAAGCTTCTCTCTAAAACTACATTTCTCTCGAAAGACTTCCTTGGCACGTCCTTTTGGCTTACTGGACTCCCGCCAAAATCTAATATTTTGCGTTTGAGAACATGAGCATAAAACGTGCTCAATTTTTTTGGTACAACATTTGTGTATTCAGATTTCTAAGAAATAATTTAGAGTTTTCTTATTAGTTCGTTTTCGGTGAGTGCACAGGGTGTGGACAATAATCATGTTGTCTTCACAAAAAAGAGAAAATAATTTAAGATTCCAATGAAAAGTTTTGCCAGGAGACGCTGCAACTTTTTAGGACTATCTAACATTTGTCTTTTCTTAATAACCATCTGCACAACACGCAGGAAAAAACATAACGAAGAAGTAGCCGGAAAGAAAGACTGGCTATACCCCGAGGAACCTAAAGAAAAGGACCCCCTACAAAGGTGTGTATGTAAAGTCTGCGTTAAAGCTAAATAAGGAATATTTCTACTCCACCCTCCCCCGTCCCCCCTTCCCTGGAAGAGGGAAGGAGCTGTTCGAGTCAATGGTTTCTGCACAAAGAAAAAAGTGTGAAGGTCCGGCTTCCGATGATCTAGTGGTACTCATGACTGCTTATAAAAACGCAAAGACCAGGAATTTAAAGAAACAGATACTTAGCCTTTACGCTTATAGATATCCCCTTAGCACCTTAAAGAATATCCATGAACCATACGGAAAACTATCTTCCTGGGAAATAAAGCAGGCACGTTCCCATGCTAAACTGCACGGGCCTGGTACTCCCCCTGAAGTGAAGACAAAGCATCGCGTACGGATCAATATGGGGAAAGTCGATCACTTTCTACAATTCGTGAACAGACCTTACTTTTATCAGGACGTTTCTTATGGCACTAAGATTCTCGTCTTAGACAGTGGCAACAGAATAGAGATGCCAAACGTTGTCAGAATTGTGACTAGATCAACAATGATTGAGCAATACTTGGAGTACTGCAAAGAACAATGTTACGAGCCACTAAGTAGGTCAACAATGTTCAAACTCTTGGAGGTTCGAGCGGCGTCTCAGCGCAAATCCCTTCAGGGCTTGGACAACACTGCTGCTGATGGAGCAGCGGGATTTCAGACCCTTGAAATGCTTATTGAAGCACTTGAGAAAGGAGGAATGAAGAAGCAGTGGTGCGTTGATGTTCGTCAAAAACTTAAAAGATGCAAGACGTTATCTCAAGACTGACTTTCGCGTGAATTGCCAACCAGATGATTCTACTTGTGCTGACCACTGTCGAAATTTCGCGCTTAGTGATCCTGACGAGCCCAACTTCCAAACGCCCCGTTCACATATGCATATGTCTATTTGTGATGAATGCCAAGGGCTGAAACACGTGTTACAGGAAGTTCGACAAGGGATTGAAGGGTCATCCTGGACACCTTACAGTTCCGAGCAACATGAAGATCTTCTGTATGACTTTGACCGCGCAAAAGCAGACATCTTGCAATGGAAAGCGCACATTATTCGCTCGGTAAACGAGGAACAGGCTAAACAAGATTCTATGAAGTCAGTCGACGCGACATCAGCGGTAATTATAATGGACTGGGCCATGAAGTTTCTTCAAATGAAATATCGTGAGAAGCAGTCCGATTGGTTCGGGAAACGAGGGCTCAGCTGGCATATATCCACCGTCATAACTAAGAATTTCAGCACTGGTAAGGTCGAGCTGAAATCATACGCTCACATCCTTGATTCCTGCCAGCAGGACTGGTATGCAGTCTGCTCAATCATTGAAAACACACTGGAGGCTTTGAAAAAGGAACAACCCCACATTTCCCGAGTGAGCCTTAGGAGCGACCAAGCGGGTTGTTACCATAACAACTCTCTCATGGCGGCAGTAAGAGACGTTGGGGAAAGAGTTGGCATCACTGTCACGCTGTATGACTTTTCCGAGCCACAATACGGGAAAGATGTCTGTGATAGGATCCTTTGCCCAATGAAATCAGCTATCCGACGATATTGTAATGAGGGACACGATGTTATTTCTGCAAAGGACATGCGTACAGCACTTTCCGAACCTCCTGTTAGAGGCACAACTGCCTGCGTTTGCTCCGTGAACGAGCTTCATTTGACACTTGCGGTTAACAGGATGGATGGCTTCAGCAGGTATCATAACTTTAAATTTGATTTAAACGGAGTTAGGGTGTGGAGAGCGTATGGTGTAGGACAAGGAAGGCTAATTCCTTACGAAGACATCATCGTCAAGCCCCAGGGTCCTACAGACCTTGTGATGATGTGGACTTTTTTCCAGTTAATGAGGCTCGAATTCATGTGTCTTCCTTACCCGAGTGTGATGGTGAACAAACTAGCGGTCTTTTCTCCTGCTCCGAGCCTGGGTGTCACATGGTCTTTAAGAAATTTAGTGAGCTTGAGAATCATCTTGATGTTGGCGAACACCGCCGAGTGCGCGGAGGAGGCTCTGAAACGGTATATGACAAAGTCAGAAGAGACTATGCAGAAAAATTTCTTACTGTAGACTGCAATGAGGAAAGCAGCAGAACATTAGTAGCACATAGAGATGACTGTAGCGTTGCAGTTGTGTCTTCCGTTGTAGTTATGTCCTCACACCTAATAACCAATAGAATGCGGTTTTATTTCTTCCAATCAAAGTGCGTTGTGAACGTGTCTTCTGCGTGTCACTTCCCAACTAGGGGAGGGATGCAATGCAAAATTGTGAGACTACCGTTAAGTTTTCTGCGCTCGAAGTTTGAGAATTTCATGGGCTATTCTTGTTTCATGGGCTTATCCTTGATGCCTTTTGGGACACTTCGGATTGTTGAAAGATTAATATTCTTGTTGCGTTTTTAAGCGCGAAGTATCAGTGAAATTTTCTTCGATACGTTGGAAAGGTTAGGAAGACGAGAATTTGACATTGCCTCGTAGCTTCCCTTATTGGTTTGGAGTGCGCTGGTGATCGAAGTTGTGCTTTTTTGTCGGAACTAGTAAAGGAAGGTAAGGTTTCGGTTGCATTTTATGCTAGTATTTTGTTAAATTTAAATATTACAACCATTCTTCAAAGATCACGTTCAAGTTTTGGGCTTAATACTGTAGATTTCATGTGACAGCATGGCGAAGCGTGCGAGTAACTACTAACTTGGATTCATTGAATCCTTCAGTGTCGAGGGCTGATTTTTTTATTTTGCGTGGGACATGTAAAAACTAGATGTTACATAATTGAAAAACAGGGCAGATCTCGGTGTTTCAATGCCCAAAAATGTGTGATTTTCTCCATCTCATTGTGCCTACAATGATGGCTATTATGGATACAGTGGAAGACATGTATTCATTGTAAATGTATGGGACTACGCAAAAATTCAACCTCTGGTATGGTTGATGTCAAATATCACATATCCTGGGAGGTTAACTCACAAACTGCTAACTCGTATGATGAAGATCTGGTCTCTTTCATAAAGGATAGGGTGCTGTCTCCCAATGCTCTCCAACAAGTAACAGTTGGGTTACAATGTATTAAATCATTCTCTTTGCTCACCCAGAAGGGACAGAATTGCAGCAAAATTACTCTTCACTTAATAATTAGTGCTTTTCTATTTAAATCAGTGGCTGACATATGCCACTTTCTTTATTTTGATCAATTTAGAGTAAAGTCCCTTGTACCAAATTATAAGGAATATGATAATAATATGTATGTTATATGTTACCACATTATCCATACTTTTTCAACTGTGTCACAAATATTAAAATGAAATAAACACTAATTCATGCAGAAATGAATACTTAATTCAATACAGACTATTGCCTACTATTAGCAATTATTGCTCCTACATGTGTTAGCAAGAACTTGGTCTTGTTGGCATTCATTGTGAGCATTTGGCGATCTGTATATTAGTGGAGAAACTCTCTGCAACTATCTTTGCTAAGAAAATACCAATCCTTTCACCCTTACTAAATATCATTCATACAGGCATGGATGAGAACCAGCAGCAAAGCAAAGAAAACAAAAGTGCTGATGAGGTGGTAAGCTCTATTCTAAACATTTTCTTGGCGAATTATGCACTAGTTATAAAAAGGTATATGTTGTGCTTAATTTTTGTCCTTGGTATAAACATCATTTTCCTTTGGTTTTGTTAATGATATGAATGAAAAATGCATTTTGTGTAAAGAAAGATAAAATTTAGCTCCTAGCCTAAGTTATGATGAGATGATGTGTCACTATCAATTTGGCCACTATTAAAAGTAAAAGAATTAAACTAAGGATAAAACTAAACCACAGCATACCTATACTAAACCACAGCATACCTATACTAAACCCTCAGCCTATTTGTATCAATATTACTATTTTTTCTGGTGTTCACCCAATAGATTCAATCCACTCACAGACAAATATGGCACCTGTGCATTTTACTATTACTCTTAGGCTAAGGCACTCGTAGAAAGCAATATTTCACAAAACAACAACATTATGTATGCAAGGTTTAAATTTTCCAGACCTTTACTGCTTGTTTTTATGAGTGGTTCCAGTATTTTCTTGCACAAAGAGTTCTGGTTGAATGTACCAGTCACCATGGTTTTTGGTATGGTGGTTTACAATAATTGTTGTATGAAGTAACCTTCACCAATATTAATTTTGTGAACTTGTCACTGACAAAGAGCTAGTTCATGATTAGACATTGATCGTTTCATTAATTGCCATGCTCTACATTTATCATTGAAGTACTAATTAACTCCTTTGCCATCAGTAATTGCATTAAAGATACTGTGTTAGAAATCACAGCACTGTACCCCAAAATCTTATGTCGTCCTCAGCACAATCTCATTTTTTGAGCAAGGCAAAAGTAAAAATCAAACAAGACCACACAGACATCATCACAGAGACAACATTGCTATGTATAATGTTTATATAGTTAGTTACATAAAAGGTACTCTATTCATTAATTCAGTGTCAATACTCACCCTCGTAGCAGCTATAATTTTTAGCCAACTTGGGAAATAGTGGCCTAAAATGGACCCTTTTGGACATCTGAACTTTTAAATTTCCAGGGGAAGGTTCCCCAGACTTTGCCATCCAAGTGGGAATAAATGGCTGTCACACTGTCATTTTGGTCCCTCCCAGCTGCTCAAACGTTGTCCCTCCTTTCCACAATCTTACCAAAGCCCCCATATGTGTAGTAATAAAAACATTGAAGTGAAGTGTGCTATCTCAGCAAGAGGTGATAATCATGCACACTTTTAAGTGAGTCATCATAGCAGATGTTTGGTGAGGTATTGCATTGTGTGCTCAAAATCTAGTTCATGTACACCTGGGAAAAAAGAATGGGGTGTAGCAGCCATTCATGTCGTTTAATTGCTCCAAGCTCTAATTCGATACTACTGGTCATTTGGCTATCTTTCTTGCCAATACTGTTTCGTTATTTGGGTTTTCTTGAAGACACTTCCCATTGAGAAGGAGCATTATATGTGTTTATAAATTAGAAGTAAAGAAAAGTGAAAAAAGAAATAGGAGAGTGACAGGATGGTATCAAAGAGTGGTACAATTTTTTTTTGCAGGGGGGTCATTTTTTTATTTTTGAATCAGAGTTTTAGCCTAAGTATGTCTAAGTTTCTACACTTGTTGTTTAGTCTTGTGACTTCTTGCTTTAAGAAGTGAGGTAAAATTGTTTGAATTTGTTTTTTTCATTACAGCCACTTGAGTCTGTAAATGGAAAGAAAACACTGAAAAATGACGGTAAGGAATACATTGCTTGCACTATAAAGTATTGAAAGTAATTTGCAACTCTCCATATTTGTTATTTGTAACTGACATGCTTTGCACAGGTGTTGTGGGGTTAGTGGAGAAGTTAACTGTATTTCAAAAATTAAATCACTTTAAATTGCAGTGAAAGCTATTACTTTTATAGTTATAAAAGTATCAAAGGTAACTTCTCTGAGAACCTTCTCCAGTGTCTGTGATATAGAAGTGTCCACTAAATATAGGTTCATTTATTAAGAAATGTGGGAAGAATAGTATGCAACTGAAAATACAAGTAAGTACTGGAAAAGAATATTTATTCCTTGCTAGTAATCTCAGAACAGCTGTGTGGAGCTGGAAATTAACAGTGCTGGAATACAACAAACAGGGGTTTATTAATTTCCGGAGTGAGCATTTTACGACTATTTGTCCCAAAAGTCCTTAAAGTGAGACTATTAATCGTAAATGGCATCTATTCCGCTTAATAGTCTCAAAGTGTCTTCTATCACGATTAATAAGCGTGGCAAGTACGACTATAAATCGCGACAAAACTCGTTAATAGTCGTATTTGACGGGCTTTAGACTTATTAATCGTACATCGCACGGTTAATAATCGCATCTGACAGCAAATGCCCTTATTTGTCGCAAGGAAATGTACTCTTCTCAAAAGAAAGTTCAAGCTAGACTCTTTTTCGAACAGCCGCCATTACGACCAAAAATTCACAATCTGTTATTTCTTCGCACATGGCATTCTAGGTAATAAATATAACATATTTGAAGTTTGCTCGAGTACAAGTTCTCAGTGAAATTCATTTCTGTTTTAAAAGTGTGTTTACAGACTACGTTTTCTTTGACTTTTCGCTTTTCGATGAAGTACAGCGTGGGCTTACACTGTCGTAAGAGAGGCGACTAGCATTTCGTCTGAACGAGAATGTAATATCGGACAGGTTTTGAAGTTTAACTGAAAAAAAGTCACAAACTAACGGCCAAATAGGTCAAATTACGCCAAGTGTCCCCCAACAGCTTTTTGAGTACTTGAGTACTTAACCTACTTCGCACAGGGCTTGTTCGAGTACTTCCCTTTCTTCGTGTAATACATATAATACCAAAGATTTGATTATTTTAGTATTCGATAAGAAAGAGCGAGATACACAGAAAAGTAACCTTAACTGAAATTGAAAAGATATACTACCAAGCAGAAGGCAAAGTCAAAACGTTCATACGTGTGCTCAGTTGTGTCCGCTGAGACCACGTCTACTGTATGGAAAAATGAGATGTAATGAGAATCATAGCCACCTGAGATAGCTTGAATTCACCTAGAGTCAATTCAAGCTCCGTTACCATCGGTCTCCAAGCGATGTCACGCAACGTTACGTGATATCAGTAAGCGTTGATGAGACACTCAATCCACCCTGCATTTAAGTCTTAAACAACCCTTTTCGTTGTACACATATTTTCGAGATTATCACTATGAATGTGAACCATCCATTAAGTATCGATTAAATTTCTCGCACCATGAAAGCTGGTGGTATTCGAATTTTGTTTAACAGTGTTGCGGCTTGTGATAATATCATTTATTGTCACGTATTCACCTTTTTTTTTTGTATCTGACAGGATAAATCCAGGAAGAGATAGGAAGTTCAAAGTTGAGGAATACCTGAGATGTCATATTAGAAAGTTTTAGCCAGCGAAACTATAATGTTTATTATCAACTAAAATAGTAATAGGAGGTAGTGTAGAATTACATCGCAATCCAGCCAGGGCCATAGTGTAGAAGTAGCCTGCTTCCTTGATAAAGACAATTGAATTACATAGGCTGTAAGTTAGGTGAAAGGTGTCCAGCAAGTATACCCACCGGTGGCCTGATCGAGAAATTTTCACTTGATACGCAACGCCATTCAAAGATTGAAAACACCATATAGTAGATTTTGTTTATTGTTAATTTAATTCAGAATTGGAGGTAAATGATGTGAGGAAAGACACAAAAGAAAGCAAACAAACAAAAACAATGAAAAAATCTAAATGCTTGGTTTGATGCTACAATCTTTTCAGCAGCAAGTAGTGGTTCTGCAATTAAAAAAAAGTAGTTACAGTCATTATGCTTAAAATGTAGTTTTACTTTTTCCATGTATCTTTCTTTTTGAGTTAATAAAATTTTAATGCCCCCTGTAGTCATTCGCTGAGGGTTTTGATTGAGGACTGAGCTGATGAGTCACATTTACTACAACTGTAATAGTGCTAATTTGAATTGACCTCTAATTCAGCTCACTTAAACCACCAGAAATAATAAAAAAGAAAACCAGCCTCCTGAAGATTTGGCAAATAGACGTCAGGATACTATAATGTTGCCGTGAGAGGGATTTTCTTCCCCCCACTCCCCTCTCGGAATTAACATGACATAGGTCGGAAAAGAGCATAATGTCATCACTCTCTATTGCCCACAATTTTCTTCCGATGTATTCTATAAAATATGGCTACAAATCCATTAATTTAGTAATGCTTACCTATTTTTTCGTCCTCTTTGTCTTGGCTCGCCCTTCTCCCGCTTTTCCACTCGTCTTTCCACCCGCTTTTCCATCCGCTTTTCCATCCGCTTTTCTTTTTCTGCTTACAGTGATCTGTTTGGAAAGTAGCAGAGGGTAATGATTATAACCTGGTAATGTTCACATCATTTTAAAGAAAAACATTCGTTATTATCAAAGCCACGATTCTGTTATCTGCATCTCAGATGTATAATATGTGTCCGTAAGAGTCAAGACCAATATGGCACAGGTTACTATATAGATTAATTCGATATTTAAATTTGCATTACCTTGTTATTTCATAGTATCTTTGTGCGGCCTGTGCTGGCTAAAATCCGGCAACATACTGTTGCACATAAGAGGTACCCTGGGTGTTTATTCTTTGTTATCGTCGAGCGGTTATAGTTACCTCGACTTCTCTTTCCTCTCTCGATACGAGTCTACTCAACTCCACAGAAGAAGTAGACTGCGCTGTGGCAACTTTGCAAATAGTATTTTCCAGGACATCCAAGTCCCATTTTTTAGTCCTGTCTGGCTACTGATGGCGATTCCTCTGTCTGGTTATGAATTCTCTCCACCATACCATTTCTGAGTCTTTCAATTTCATGGCGTATTTTGGGAGGTCCATTTCAAGCTTGTCAAGGGACATGCCACCAAGAGTGTTCGGTTTGACAAGCTTGGGAACTCCTCTTGGTATGGTCAAGATGAGACTTATTCCGCCATCAGGCAGCCAGGCAGGTGAGGTGGACCACTTCTTATAGAACAGCTTGGAGTTGTCGTTGTTGTTTTGAATTTTAAAAACGTGTTGGTGGACGTGGCCTGCTATGTTGTTAATGGAGTTCTCCATCCACGCTTTGATCTCGAACAAAGATGATAATTCCTCCACTAACACAGGAGGGGTGTACGATACTTTAATCTGTTCCTTCAGTGCCTCTAAAGTATGGGCGGCGTTCTTGGCAAGTCTTCTTGCTACACATGAAAACATCTGATCGATGTTTTCATGTGTATGACCCACCACCAAGAAAGATATTTTGATCTGTCAAAAAGTAAAACATGTGATTTAGTTTGTTAACCCCAGTTCTGAATGAATCATAGTCAAATTTCCTTACATAGTTACATGTTGTTGTCATTTCAATTACTGAGAGTAATATTGCTTGCATAAAATGAAACAAAATAGTAAGCCAACCACAGTTAAAGAGACCAACGGTCAGTAAACCATGACTTAAAGTAGTAACGAACGTCCTGACAAAAAGAGGAATATTTAATCCTCGTTGAACTTATTTTCAAAATTTGTATTGAATTAAAAATGATATTAGGCTGGGACTCATCTCTAGCTACGGCTGAAATTATTTATTGAGAGATAAGACAATTTTGCCTGATTTGATAACTCACCTTCTCAAAAATTTTCCTCTCAACCAATAAACTTAGAAAACTTAGGACATAGCGGTTTTTGTTCTCCATCCAACAGTTGTCCATCTGGAGGTACAGGACAGGTCGCAACCTACGACTAGTTTAATTATTGCGTCTTTCACAGTAATTATTCTTTGAACAACGTAGCCTGAAAAGACCAGTCTACACACTAAGACTTGACCAAGAAGGTAAGATTGTCTGTGACAAAAATGGCATCCTTGTTGTTAAGCAACTTCTCTACAGAGAGGCTGTAGATAGTGTATTAAACAGTTTACACTACATTAAAGGTGTCCTTGGAGAGGATACTTGCCTCCCTGGAGGGGTGAATGCCTTGAGTTGGCTATTCAATCAAAAATATGTATTTAAGGGTATTTTCAACCTTATTAGGGCCTTCTTGGCTCAATGCTCAACATGTCAGGTCAACAACCCCTTGCCAATGCGAGTGCTTCCCCCTCCTGTCCCCATTAGATCTTTTCGCCCCCATTCCAGACTACAGTGTGACCTTATTGACATGGCCCCAAAGAAGCACCGTAGTTTTATGCAGAATAATTGTTGGAGCTACCGTTACATTCTAACAGTCAAGTGCTGTTTCTCGAAGTTTTGTTGGCTGTTCCCGTTATAAACAAACTCTGCAGAAGAAGTGTATGCCGTTCTGAAGGCCTTGTTCATCAAGGAAGGGTCACCTACTGTAATTCAGTCAGATAATGGTGGTGAATTCATTGGAGAGGTAGTGCAAAAACTTTGCAAAGAATTTGAAGTTTGCATGGTTGAGGAGGCGAGCGTGGCCTAGTGGTTAGGGCGCTGCACTTGTAAGCCGGAGGTCCCGGGTTCAAGTCCTCCTCCCTGCCACTGGATGGATTTGTCTTCGGTGGCCCCGAATTCAACTCCTGCACGCTTTGTAAATAGCCAACTGGTCTGCCTCCTACCAGTTGGGGTTTTTAACGAGTTGCTGTTCATTTACGATATATGTTTCCTTATTTACAGTGTCTCCAATTAGCACAGCAGTGCTAAAATACACTGACACTTAAATAAAGTTATTGTTATTATTATTATTATTATTATTATTATTATTATTATTATTATTATTATTATTATTATTATTATTATTATTATTATTATTATGGTTCATGGTAGGCCACACCACCCACAGTCTCAAGGCCAGATAGAAAATCTCAACAAGCAAGTCAAAAGGTTACTTGCAAGGTTTTTACAACAGTTGCCTAGAGATCTTCAGGCCAATGTCTGGCCTTTACTACTCTCTGCTATTGCAGACCTTTTGAATTGCAAGTGGCACAGCACAATTAATGATGTGCCTTTTCGAATATATAAGAACCGTGAGCCTTCCTGCTTGGTGGACTACATCATCCCAGATGATAGTATGTGGACAGAAAGTATTGAAGATGGTTGCCTTGAGGAT